CGGCCTGACAGCCTGGCCCTGTCCTCCATGTGGCTGTTCCCAGCCCCAGCCTGACAACCTGGCCCTGTCCTCCGTGTGGCTGTGTTCCCGGCCTGACTGCCTGCCCCTGTCCTCCGTGTGGCTGTGTTCCCAGCCTGACTGCCATGCTCCTTATGTGTTTTCAGATGTTGAGCAGAGCATGGGGCTGATGCACAGCGGAGTTGTGTATGCGCTCTGGGACTACAGCGCCGAGTTCGGGGATGAGCTCTCCTTCCGGGAGGGAGACTCGGTCACCGTGCTCCGGAGGGACGGGCCGGAGGAGACCGACTGGTGGTGGGCTGTCCTGCACGGCCAGGAGGGCTACGTGCCACGCAACTATTTCGGGGTGAGCCCAGAGGGGATCCAGTGGGCCAGGCTGATCTGTGGTGTGAGCACTTTGGAGGCGGAGGCAGGGCTTGCCAGCCTGGGCTCCATTAGTAAGTGTTAGGTTAACCTGAGCTACAAATGGGTTTCTCTCTCTGTCTCTCTCTCCTTCTTTGTCACATTCGCACACACACACACAGTTGATTATGACAGCGGTGAAGGAGTCTAGAAGAATCCATTATTGGGTGTGCAGGGGTGTGAGCTGAGGGACCCCTTTCACATAGGAAAGTGATGGTAACAGCCTCGAACAGGTTCCGCCACATCTTCCTTGTTTGGCTCGTGCTTGTGCTTAGTGGGATGTTTTGATTGTTCAGGGGTGTGGCTGGTGGTTAGATGGCAGGCCCCACCCCCCCCCCCGCCCCGCAGTCTTGGGGGGGCATAAGTGGGGCGGAGCTCCTGGTGTCTGATGGTTGTCGTCTTCTCTTAGCTCTTCCCTAGAGTAAAGACACAGAGGAGCAAAATCTAGCAGGAATGAAGGAGGAAAAGTGCTACGGAGAAAAGTGCAAGCCAGCCTGCCTTCCACCAGCCCTACCCCATCCATCTACTGCGGAGTTTACCTGCACCCTCATCTCCAGGGGGTTCAGCCTCCACCAGAAGTTCTCTGCTTCTCCGGGGGCTCAAGGGAGGGCAGCCCCAGACTGAAGATTAGGATGCTGCCTTAAGCGTTGGAGTTAGGTGGGCTGGGGACCTTTGGAAACAGGAGACCCACCCAACCACCCCAGCACACACACTTGCCAAATCAGATCTGGTCCAAAGTGCCTCTGACTGCCAGCAAGCCACTTCCCTTTCCCGGCTGAGCCTGGGAGGGTGACCCACCCCTTCATTTCTCTGAGTCCTTTCCCTCTCTCTCCCAGCAGCCCCCATTCCTTCCAGCAGCCTTGGGCCTGGGTGAGGCTCATGGTTCCTCAGCAAGCAGTCTGCCCCTCTCCCAATCCAAGTGCCTTCAGACCATGTGGCTTGATGTTTATAATGACACGGGAAGCTGTTTCCTTTCTAAATAAAGGTAGTTTGCACAGAAATGAACATCATTTTGATTCTGTTCAGACTACATGAATGCTGTCTATGCTAGTTAGTGCTCGTCAGTGTGACAACCTAGACAGGACTGCTCTCAGAGAGGGCCTGTATGTTTATTATATTGTTAATTTTTTGAAACAGGATGTCACTAGGTAGCCTAGCTTGGATCTTGCTACATAGACCAGGCTGGCCTCTAGCCTCCTTTTTCCTCTCAAGTGCTGGAACTAAAGATGAATGTCACACCCAACCTTCTTAAAGATTTTGAAACAGCGTTTTATTGTGCAGTTTAGGCTAGATTTAAACCTATAATTCTGTGCCTCAGACCCTGCAGGAGCTTGAGGTGACAGATGTGTGCCACCATGACCAATTACCATTTATTTATTTACCAAAAGTCAAAGGAAGCGTTTTAGTCACGTGACCACATTAGGAAGTGGAGCAAACCAAAAAGGTCCAATGAATAATTTTTTTTTGAGACAGGGTTTCACTGTGTAGCCTTGGCTGTCCTGGCTAGACCAGGCTAGCCTCAAACTCAGAATGATCCTCCTGCCTCTGCTTCTCAGAGTGCTGGGATCAAAGATGGGTGCCACCATTGCCCAGCTGTGAATAAAAAATTTTAAAAGGGAAATAAATAAGGTCTGGTGTCACCTCCCCCATGTCCATATTCAAGGTCCTGACATGAGGTTTAATTTTAGAGAGCGATCGGGGCGAGGTGGCACATGCCTGTAATCCCAGCACTTTGGCAAAGGCAGGTGGGTTTCTGAGTTCAAGGCCAGGCTGGGCTACAAAGTGAGTCCAGGACAGCCAAAGCTACAACCCCATCTCAAAAAAAGCAAACAAATGAAAAAAGAAAAAGTTTAGATGGCAAGAGGCATGTATGACTAAGTTGCTGGACATTGGCAAGGTGAGGTCCTGCCTCTCACTGACCAGTTGGTATCAGGGCTCTACTCTGTCCTGGTTTGATACATGATCAAAATGGTGTAGACTCTCAAACCAAGGTTCTTCACAGACTGGCACCAGTGTGAGAGAGCAAAAGGAGATGTGTTCAATTCGACATTTTGGAGAGTAGAGAAATCCTCATTAGAAGCTGAAATCTGAGAGCTGCCAAGATGGCTCAGCAGGTAAATGCGCTCACTAGCCTGCCAGCCTGAGTTCAATCCTCAGGCTCTGAATGCTGGAATGAAAGAAACCATTCCTGCAGGTTCTCTGACAATCACAATCATGTCCATGTAACCAATAAATAAATAAAATAATTTAAAAAAAAAAAAGAAATAACAGCATGTCATCCAGCCCCTCGGGAGCCTAAGGTGGTGAGTCACAAGACTGAGACCAGCCCTAGCTACAGAGCGAGCTCCAGGCCCATTTGGGTTATGCAGTGGGACTGTTTCCATAATCAGTGGGATAGGGTGAAGGTGGGTGGCTCTTGCCTTTTGACAGGTGGTGGAAGGAAAGGACTGCAGGTTCCCTCTCTGCTCCACACACCTTGACATGCTCACCCTCACCATATACCCAAACAATAAAGGAAGAAAATGTGGGTGTACGGTGCGTGTCTTTAATCCCAGCCTGTGTCAGAAAGAGGCAGGTGACACTCTGAGTTGGAGGCCAGCCTGACCTGCAGAGTTTCAGGACAGCCAGGGCTACAGGGCTACACAGAGAAACCCTGCCTTGAAACAAAACAAAAACAAAGAAGAAAAAAGAAAACATGATTAAAAGGGGCACTGAGGAGCCAGGCCTGGTGGCTCACCCCTGTAATCCAGCACTCGGGAGGCAGAGACAGGCTAATCTCTGTGAGTTTGAGCCAGGACAGCCAGGACTACAAGAGAAACCTTATTTCAACCCCTGCCCCAAAAGAGGAGCACTGGTAAAGTGCTTTTTTTAAAATATACATATTTATTATTGGTGGTTGGTTGGCTTTTTCATCTCATTTATTTGTTTGTTTGCTTTTGAGACAAGGTTTCATATAGCCTAGACCAGCCTTGAGCTCGCTAAGTACCAAGGGTACTGCCTCTACCTCCAGAGTGCTGGCGTTACAGGAGTGCACCACCACACCCTTCATAGATGTCTTCTTGAGACAGGGTTTCACTCAATAGCCCAGCATGGCCTCCAGTTTGCAAACCTCCTGCCTCAGTCTCCTAAATCCTTAGATTACAGACGGGAGTCCCACATCTGGATTTTAATTAATTAATTGATCCTTTAAAGATTTATTTTTATGGCTTTAAAAAAGTGTATGTGTGCATTTGGGTGAAGGTCTCCTGGGAAGCCAGAGGTACGGGATCCCCCGGAGCTAGCCTTAAAGGCAATTGTAAGCTGCCTGATGCAGGCGCTGGGAACCGAACCTCAGTCCTCTCCAAGATCAGAAAGTGTTCTTAACCGCCAAGCGGTCCCTCCAGCTCCTTAATTAATGAATTTCTAGAGTAGGGGCTCAATAAACGGGAGGAGCTGTTTTATAGTTTTTTTAAATTTATTAATTTTTATGTACATTGGTGTTTTGACTGCACATTTATCTGTATGAGGGTGTTGGATCTTCTGGAACAGAAATTACAGACAGGTGTGAGCTGCCATGTGGGTGCTGGAGATTGAACCCAGGTCCTCCTGAAGAGCAGCCAGTGCTCTTAACAGCTGAGCCGTCTCTCCAGCCCTGTTTTATAGGTTTCTTAAGTCTAGACACCGGTCTTTTATAAGTACATGTTTGTCTGGTACAGCTACGCTATTATAAGTGAAGGGCTCCGAAAGGCCTCCACTTTCTCTGTTATTTTCTCTTAAACCCTAGTCACCACTTGGACAACCGGAACAGAACCGTTTGTCAAAGAACTCCATCGATTCTCTCGGCTCTCTCCCACATTCTGTTTGCAGTCCTCGGCGATCCTTAGCGATGCCTCGGGCACCGCCTCTCCCCAGAGCCCGCCCTCTGGCCTCTATGCGCACGCGCCAGTTTTCTGATTGGAGGAGTGGCGGGGGGATCCAGCCAATGGCGTCTCGAGGGAGGTGTAGCTCTCGGGGCACGCCCCCTCGTTGAATATTCAGGAGGCGGGAGAGTGGACGCCACGGCCAGCCGCCATGAAGTGAGGGGGGGGGGGGGATAGTGGACTGCGGTCTGTGCTGCGGTGGGCGATGGGGCGGTCGGTGGGCGTCGCCGGGGCCTGGAAGCGGCCCAGGGAGGCTGCGGAGTCCCGCCCGGGTGGCTTCGGGGTCCGCGGCGGGGAGCCGCCTTGGGGGCGGGCGGGCGGCGCGGAGGCCGGGGCGGCCTGAGAGCACGGGGCACCGACGCTTCGCCGCCGCCAGGCTCAATGTGGACGGGCTGCTGGTCTACTTCCCGTACGACTATATCTACCCGGAGCAGTTCTCCTACATGCTGGAGCTCAAGCGCACGCTGGACGCCAAGGTGGGTTTTGAGGCCGCGGACGGCCGCTCTCTGCGCTCTGTTGGCTCCCGCTGCCTGACGACCTGGTCGAGGCCTGAGCCTTGCAAGTCCCAGTACCCAGGCAGGAGCGTCGCTGCGAGTTTGGAAACCAGCCTGGGCTAGACCGTGAGACCTTGTCTCAGCAACAACAAAGTAATAATAGGACTGGGAGTGTAGCTCAGTTGGTAGCGTGCTTGCCTGGCCAGCGTGAATGAAGCTCTGGGTTCCATTCCGGCACCACATAAACTGAATGTGACAGGGATTCCAGTAGCGGGGAGACTAAGGAAGGATTGCTCGACTTTGAAGGCCACCCTGGATTTCACAGTGAGTCCAGGCTAGCTATATAGGGAGACTCTGGTTTTGAAAAGATTTAAATAATATGGGAAGAGAGGGCTGTGCTTCAGTTGGTAGAATGCTTGCCTAGCGTGCTCGAATCCCAACAGTGGACTAACCCGGCATGAGATGATGCATGCCTGTAACGCCAGCCCTGGGGAGGCTGCGACAGGAGGATCAACGGGAGTTTGCAGCCAGTCTAGTTAAGTTCCAAGCTAGCCAGGGCTATATATATGCTGGCAAGATGGCTCAGAAGGTGAAGGACTTGCTGTGCAAGTGTGGAGGTTGCTCCCGGGACCCATGTAAAGATGTAAAGGTGGGGGAAAACCACCTCCACACAGTCGTCCTATGACCTTGACATGTGTACCCACAACCACACATCATGAACACACACACCTTATAATAGTAACCACAGGATTTGATAACCGCTACAAGGCCGAGTGTCTAAAGCCCAGTCTTAGGGGCTGGATTTAAAGCCTGGGTCTGTGGGTTTCCAGCTGTGCACTGGCAGGCACACCATTTAACCAAATGCCAGTTTCCACCCCTGGGAAGGGAAGCTTTGCTTTTTTAGGAAGGGGCACTGGAGGTGCAGTGTGGTTGGTGCTTGAGCCAGGCCTTGTGTTTCCAGCACCGTGTAAAAACAGGCCTCTTCACTCCAGTAATCCTAACACTCAGGAAGTGGAGGCCGGAGGATCAAAAATTCAAATTCATCCTCGGGGACAGTAGTGTATCGGGGCCAGGCACGGTGGGGCGTGCATTTAATTACGGCACTGCAGGAACAGGAAGAGCTCTGTGACTTGGTCTGCAGCCAACCAGCATGCTGGACAAGTAAACATACCTCCAGCTACGTCCCAGTCCACTTTGTACTGTTAGGAGACAGGGCCTCACTGCAGACTCTGCGGTCCAGGCCGGCGGACACTGATCTTAGCAATCCTCCTGCCTTGGGTTCCTGTCTTGGAGGAGGAGTTGGAGTTGGTGGTGGTCATCCTGGGGTACGTGAGCTGCTTTAAAAAACACTGCAGAGATGGGCTGGAGAGATGGCTCAGAGGTTAAGAGCGTTGTCTGCTCTTCCAGAGGTCCTGAGTTCAACTCCCAGCAACCACATGGGGGCTCACAACCATCTATAATGAGATCTGGTGCCCTCTTCTGGTGTGAAGTTGTATGTGTAGACAGAATATTGTATACATAATAAATAAATCTTTAAAAAAAAACAAAACAAAACACTGCAGAGGTGGCTCAGTGGTTAAGAGGGCTTGCTGCTCTTCCAGAGAACCCTCGCTCAATTCCCACAGCCATCTGCAGCTTCAGCTCCATGGGATCCTGCTTTCTCTTCCGGCTTCTGCAGGCATCTGCATACCCTAGCATACGTATATACACATATAAATTAACTTTTTTAAAGATGGAGCTAGTGAGTGCCTTCCTAGGTTGTTGTGAGAACTGTGCCATTTCACACATGAAAGGTGACTGTTTGCAACTCAGTGTAATTGTGTGTGTTTGTGTATATGTATGGGCACTAATAATTAAGCCAACATTCTGGAAGGGTTCAGTATATAGGGGTCAGAGGACAACTTTGTGGAGTTGGTTCTTTCCTTTCACTTTTGTTTTGTTTTTTTGAGACGGGTTCTCTATGTAGCCTGGTTGTCCTGGAATTCCCTCTGTAGACAGGCTGGCCTTGAACTCACAGACACCTGCCTGCCTCTGCCTTCTGAGTGCTGGGACTGCAGGTGTGCCACACCACCGGCTGGCTTCCTTTCACTTTTATGTAGGTTCTGGGGATCCTGGGGCCAGTCATGTTTACCTGCTACGCTATCTCGAAAGCTCTGAACACAAACTTACTTTTAAGTGGTTTTTTAAAATTAGAGTATGTGTATATGTGCTGTGATGTGCATGTGGAAGGCAGAGAGCAACTTCTGAGAGGCAGTTTTGTTTTTTCCTTCCATGTGTGTCACGGGGATTGAGCTCAGGTGGTCAGCTTGACCGTGGGCGCCTTTACTGGCCACGATCCCGTTAGTCCTCACACTCCTGCTCTGAGCAAGGCCTACAGGGCCACCTAGAAGCAAGGTTGCTGTGGCCCAGCGAGGTCAAAGTTCCTGCCATCTACTGGTCAGTAAGAGGGACACAGAAACAGGCAGCCTATAATCCCAGTGCTCAGGAGGTGGAGGAGGCAGGAGGATTGCCAAAAGTTCAAAGCCAGCCAGAAGTGCATAGCAAGAACTAGGTTTGCTAGGCTCCCTAGCAAGATCCTTTGGCGGGTGGAAATTGAGAATGAAAAATAAAAAACTCCACCAAAAAGGAGAAACAAAGATTGTCATTCCTGGGGCCCTGATGATGGTTCCCCTGCTGTGTGTGTTGTCTTGCTGTTCCTAGTGAGGGTCCCCAGAGTTTATGTTGATAAAGTTCTCAAAGCCTTGTCATGTCTCTTCTGTGCCCAACTTTCAGGGTCATGGAGTCCTGGAGATGCCCTCAGGCACCGGGAAGACAGTGTCCCTACTGGCCTTGATTGTGGCCTACCAGCGGGTGAGTGGGCTCTTGGGTTACTGGAATGAGAGGGGGAGGGGCTGGATAGGGCTGAGGTCACTTGTCATCCACAGGCTTATCCACTGGAAGTGACCAAACTTATCTACTGCTCACGGACCGTGCCAGAGATAGAGAAGGTGGGCATTGCGGACACACCCCTTGCTCTGTCCCCTCCCCTGGGCCTCGGTGGCCCCCAGTTGCTGCCCTCACTAGCCTGGCAGGCAGGGGCTTGTCCTGAGGTCCCTACCGAATGCTCCCTCGTCCAAGCAGGTCATAGAAGAGCTTCGAAAGCTGCTCAGTTTCTACGAGCAACAGGAGGGCGAGAAGCTGCCATTCTTAGGACTGGCTCTGAGCTCGAGAAAGAACCTGTGTATTCATCCAGAGGTGAGACTCTCATCTTCAGGCTACCCAGTACAAGCCCCAGAGTAAACCCTTTGTCAGTGTCAGGTGACCACGAATGGAACTCCCTTTTTAGTCTTTAGAAGACCTGTGCTGAGATCAGAAACTGCTGGCACGCCAACACGGTGCCTCAGAATTTCGCATTTGACCTTATAGGACAGGTCAAAGCGGTAGCTCAAAAGTATTGGTTATTTTGGTACACATGCAATATAAGTTAATTCATGGCAGCCTCGGGTCCCATCTGACAGTTTCCTTTGTGGGTATGCAGGTATTCCAAAACCCACACACATCTGGGCCCCAAAACACCACTGAGCCAAGTGCTTTCAGAGAAGGCCTACTCAGTGGATTTTTGTTTTGTGTTTGGGGGTTTTGTTTGTTTGTTTTAGAGAGAAATTTAGGCTTTTGGTTTTATAATTCTTTTTTGAATTTATGTGCATTAGTGTTTTGACTGCAAGTATGTCTGTGTGCGTGTTGGATCCCCTGAAATAGGAGTTTCAGTTGTGAGCCACCTCATGGTTGCTGGGAATTGAACCCAGGTCCTCTGGAAGAGCAGTCAGTGCTCTTAACCTGTGAGCCATCTCTCAGCCCCCAGGCTTTTTTATTTTTAAAAAATGTACATGTTGTTTGTGTGTATGTGTATGTTGTGGGGACATGCATTCCAGGGCACACATGTGGAGGTCAGAGGACAGTGTGTGGTAATCTGTCCTCTCCTTTCACTGTGGATCCTGGGGCTTGAACTCAGATTGTCAGGCGTGGTGGCAGACACCCTTACACTGTGATATGGATTGCCGCCGGGGCTTGGGTGTGCTAGCAAGCACTCTACCTACATTTGAGATATGCCCCTAGCTTCTTTTCACACGTTACTGTGAGATAGGGCCTTGGTAGGTTGCCCAGGCTGGCCTGAGCCTGCAGGCATGTGCCGCCATGCCCAGCTCTAGCTGTAGTGGGATCTTAGGAATGCTCCGAAGCTGACACCCATGCAGGAAGTCCTTCTAACAAATGGAGAAACAGGGAAAGTTCCCCGTGCCCCCAGAACCCCAGTGGACATACTACTCCTGGTGTTAGGAGACCCAGGTGTGCACCACCTCTGTTTTAAGCTGCCCCCTGACCCCCCCCAGGTGACACCACTGCGCTTTGGGAAGGATGTGGACGGGAAGTGTCACAGCCTCACAGCGTCCTACGTGCGGGCACAGTACCATCAGGATGCCAGCCTGCCTCACTGCCGCTTCTATGAGGTACAGGGGAGGGCCCAGGCCAGGGAGGGGGACCAGGGCTGTGCCGCTGCTGCTCTCCCTAACTCGGCTACCCTCTGGCCTTGCCCCAGGAATTTGACGCCCATGGACGCCAGGTGCCCCTCCCGATGGGCATCTACAACTTGGATGACCTGAAGGCCCTGGGGCAGCGGCAGGGCTGGTGCCCCTACTTCCTGGCTCGATATTCGGTGAAGAGCTGTTTTGTTTCCTTATGCGTTAGAATCTCACCTGTAGCGCAGGCTGGCCTCAAAGTTGGAATAGCCCTGCCTCAGGTTCCCAGCTTTTAGGGTTGTAGGCGTGAGCCATCATGCCCGTCCTTCTGTCGGCCCATCTGTCTGCTTGCATCCGTGCTCTGTTGTATCTTTGTTGACCTGGTTGGTCCCTGGGCTGTCTGTCTCCATCCTGTCACCTCTATTTGTGCCTTGAGTGGGGGTAGTCCTGTCTTGGCTTTCCATCCATCTGCTCTGCCTGTGTCACCTCTGTGGACCTGGGAAGGCGCGGTGTGGCAACCTTTCCTCCATGTGCCCAGATCCTGCATGCCAACGTGGTGGTTTACAGCTACCACTACCTCCTGGACCCCAAGATCGCGGACCTGGTGTCCAAAGAGCTGGCCCGCAAGGCTGTTGTGGTCTTCGATGAAGCCCACAACATCGGTGAGGAAGGTGCCAGGGTGCGGAGACAGCAGCTGCCCCTGCCCTCCCCACCTGGGCCTGGCTAAGCCCGCTCTTTCCCTCCCCCCCCCAGACAATGTCTGCATTGATTCCATGAGTGTCAACCTCACCCGCAGGACGCTGGACCGTTGTCAGGGCAACCTAGACACCCTGCAGAAGGCAGTGCTCAGGTATCCTCTCTGCCCCTTGTGCTTCCAGTGTCTTAGTGTGTGCCCTGACACCTGCCCCACTCCAGCCCCTCCCGTGTCCCCATCAGGATCAAGGAGACAGACGAGCAGCGGCTGCGTGAGGAGTACCGGCGCCTGGTGGAGGGGCTGCGGGAGGCCAGTGTGGCCCGGGAGACGGACGCCCACCTGGCCAACCCCGTGCTGCCGGACGAGGTGCTGAAGGGTGAGCGTGCCCCTCCCTTCCCCACCTCTGCCCTCCCCCTGGACCCGCTGACCCGCTGACCTGCTGACTCCGTCTCCCTGTAGAGGCAGTGCCAGGCTCCATCCGAACTGCTGAGCACTTCCTGGGCTTCCTGCGGCGCTTGCTGGAGTACGTCAAGTGGCGGCTGCGCGTGCAGCACGTGGTGCAGGAGAGTCCCCCTGCCTTCCTGAGCGGCCTGGCCCAGCGTGTGTGCATCCAGCGCAAGCCCCTCAGGTGTGGCCTGAAGCGGGGGCTGGGGGTCGGTAAGGGGGTCAGGTCAGGTCAGGGCTGGCTGTAGAAGGAGCCCATGGGGCTGTGGGGGGGTTTGCCCTTGATGCTGAGTGTTGCAGGCCTACCTGGTACTTCTGCAGCCGTGTGTGTGTGTGTGTGTGTGTGTGTGTGTGTGTGTGTGTGTGTGTGTTGGGAGGGTGGGGTTGCATGTGACAGTGTTTGTGAGCCTGGGGTCTGTGACGCTGGCTGTGGGGCTGTTTGGTAGAAGCTGGTGGCCATGAGTGTTGTTTGACAAGATTTTGCATGTGAGCAGTGAGCCTGTGCACTGTGTGCGCTCCAGCCTGGAATGGTCGCTCTGGGTGTCTCACACAGCTCGGGGGAAGGCTGGTCTCCAACAATGCCCAGGTTCCCCCGGGAAACAAGGCCCAGGGCCTGTTGCTTCCCACTCCTGAGCCCATCGCTTCTCAGGTTCTGTGCTGAGCGCCTCCGATCCCTGCTACACACCCTGGAGATCGCTGACCTGACTGACTTCTCCCCACTCACGCTCCTTGCTAACTTCGCCACTCTCGTCAGCACTTATGCCAAGGGTGAGCTTGCCTCTCTTGCCTCTGCCGGGCATGATTTGGGGGCCCAGCAGCGTCAGGTGGAGTACTAGCAAGGCTTGGGGATTCAAGCTGTTTTGAAGGCCTTGGGGAGATGAACAAAGCCCCTGAGTGCTGAAGCCTCGAGTTGAGTCATGTGTTCTGAGCTCCTGGTTCCAGAGGGGAGAGAGTGCGTGTGCAGGGGTAACACTGACCACAGGAATGCTACGGGGTCCCCTCCCCTTCAGCGCAGTGAGGAGTCCTTGTGTGTAACTGAGGAGAGTGGGGAGCCATGGCAGGTCTGGGCATGGGATGTACTTGGTGAGACTGTTGCTTTCGAGGTTCGTCTGGCAGGGAGAGGGGACAGGAAAGGGCGCTTCAGGAGAGCTGTGGGGGTGTAGAAGCGAGGGATGGGGGTATAAGCTGGTGCGCAGATGCCTGCCCTGCAGGAGGGCATTGTGAAGGCTATTGCTTAGGTCCATCTGTTGTGTCTCCATCCTTGTGTTGTGACAACCCCCACGCCCTGCAGCTTTATAGAGTTTTCAGGCTTATCCCTGGGGATTACTACTGTAGCCAGGAAACCAGGTCAGCTGGCACCCTGTGGCTGGGTCGGCCTCGGAAGTGGGGTCTCCTAGCAGCCCCACCCCAGGGCTGTTGGCAGCTGTCCGCTTCCTTCTGCTTTTAGCGCTCACCGAGCCCTTTCTCCTGGCCTTTGTTGTTCTCATTCCCCCCTCCTCCCGCCTCCAGGACATCACAGTCATTTAAACCTCCTTCCCTGGGCCTCCTGTCACTTGCCTGGCACCTTTAGCTCTCAGAAAGTCCCGCCTACCCACCCTGTGCAGGCCTGCCCCCTCCTCTATACCAGCTGCATCTGAGCATCGCTCTCTGGAGAGCTGTCTGCCCCGGTACAGTGGAGCCTTTCTAGGTGGCACTCAAGCTGTGTTGGTCACTGCTGTGTCCTTGGCAAGCACTGAACACATTGGACCTGATCATTTCTTGCCAAGTGAAACAGAATCTCTGAATGTATTCATTTATTCAGTCAACAAATGGGCCAGGCCCAGCACTGTGGAAGCAACAGGATATGAAAACAGCTTCATCTTCCCAGGAGTCACAGCCTGGAGGAGAATTAGGAGCAAAGATAATTCCAGAAGGTGACACCAGAAAGTGTGGCGGGCTGCAAGGAGCCTCCTAGTGTGCCCCTGGGGCAGAGACTCAGACAACCAAGTGGGCCCTGAGGGATGACTCACACAGCAGCTAGGAGCAAGGGACGGTGCAGGCCCGCTCTGTGTCGTGGAAGGAGTGGAGACTAGCCAGCTTGGGGTTCTACAGTCTCTCCCTGCTGCTGTGGGGAGCAGGTGGCAGAGTTGCCTGAGGCAGGCCAGGCCTGGCCTACCTGCAGGACCCCGAGGCAAAGCCACGGCTCCTCTGCTCCTGCACGAGAGCGTTTGCACAGCCCAGCCATGCAGAGGTGGGCAGGCTGGGGCTGGTTGGCATTCTGCTGCCTGGTTCTGCGATGAGATGGGGCGTGTCTGGGTGAGGCAACAGGTGAGCGTGGTAATGACCATCATGAGACTCAGCAGCCTCCCCCTCCACCAGGCTTCACCATTATCATCGAGCCCTTTGACGACAGGACCCCCACCATCACCAACCCCATCCTGCACTTCAGGTAAGCTGTAGCGTGTGGATGGGACAGGCTGCGCCCCGCCCCAGCCTGTGTGACCAGTGTGCTTTCCCACAGCTGTATGGACGCCTCCTTGGCCATCAAGCCTGTGTTTGAACGCTTCCAGTCCGTCATCATCACCTCTGGGGTGAGGCCTCTGTGCTATTCCTTCATGGAGGTCCTGGTCCCTGGCCTGTCCTACTGAGGTCTCCCTTTCTGCCCCTGCTGCAGACGCTGTCCCCACTGGACATCTACCCCAAGATCCTGGACTTCCACCCCGTCACAATGGCAACCTTCACCATGACGTTGGCCCGAGTCTGCCTCTGCCCAATGGTGAGGGAGTAAGATGGGGGACACCAGGACACCAGCCTCTTGGCTTCCACCCAGTCAGCCGGCTGCTCGGCCGAGGCGCCAGCTTGCTGGGTGGTGCCTGTATGGGAGGGCCGCTTCCCAGTGACCCGGGCCATAGTGCATAGACGTGTGCAGAGCGGACGCTGGTGAGACGCAGGCCTGGGCAGGTGGAGTTTGGTCACCCTCTTGGTCGGGGTGGCTCTGCCATGTGTCGTCCAGCTGGGACTCGGGTATGAGGCTCATTTTCTGAAGCCTGGGGCAGAACTACCCCCTTAGCCTCTGCTTTGCAGTTCAGAGCCCTGCAGCTTCCTCAGCTTGTCCCCAGCCTCCACGGTCTGTGGGCAGCATACAGCCAAGGGTGGCAGGGAATGCTGCCTGGCACAAGATCAGAAACCCCTTAAACCTCATGGGGTGTGTGTGACCCGATTGCATGCTTGTGGAGCATAAACTGTAGAGGGCCGTGCCAGAGGGTGGGCCTCCTGCCTCTGGAGCAGGGTTCCACTGTTTTCAGAACTGTGTCTTTTCTGGGACACTGTCTCTGACCACCCACTGGTACAGTGGCCCCGGAGGGCTGCTAGTGGAGTGTGTGCTGTGGGCTGACCTGGGTCTGGAACCTAAGCCTGGAGTGGGGGCCTGCTGAGAAGCACAGAGGGCCCTTCCCCGGGGCTGGTTGCTGTGTGATGTAGGCATTTGCCCAAGCAGTGCCGATCGTGGGCTTGGGCCATCTAATCACTCTCCATAAGGCTTTCCTGAGCTCAGGCCTTACGTGGTACAGGACTTGCCTAGCATGCAGTGGGCCCTGGTTCCATGCCGACTGTAACCTCAGAACTCAGCAAATGGGGCAGGGTACCCAGGATCACCTTGGCTACACAGAACTTCAAGAGGTGGGGACGAATAGCCTCAGGGAGGCACCTGGTCTCGAGGCCAGCCGAGGCTACGAGACGTCTTCTCAAGAAAGGGCACGACTGTCAGTCAGGTGTTGTGCCACATTGTCTTCACCCTGGCTCTTCCAGATCATTGGCCGTGGTAATGACCAGGTGGCCATCAGCTCCAAATTTGAGACAAGAGAAGATATTGGTGAGTCAGCTGTGGGCTTGGTTGAGATGGGTCTCGGGTGGCCTAGGGCCTGCTGCCACAGCAAGTCCCCAGCCTCTGTGGCTAGCACAGGCCTCCTTCCCACCCTCTGTGGGCCCACTGCCTCTTCACTTGGGGATCTGAAGCACCAGGCACGTCACTGCCCTCAGGGCCACTTAGGACATTGGAACACACAGCCACTTTCATGTCTCGTGCTGTCACGTGTTACGTGTCCTTGATGAAGCTTGGGGCGGGAAACAGCCCTGTAATATGGGAAGATGAACTGGGGATACAGGTAGGTGGCCTCACTGGGAGCCAGGAGAGGATTCTTTCTCTAACCTCCCCACTCTCCCTAGCTGTAATCCGAAACTATGGCAACCTCCTGCTAGAGATGTCTGCTGTGGTCCCCGACGGCATTGTGGCCTTCTTTACCAGCTACCAATACATGGAAAGCACCGTGGCCTCCTGGTATGAACAGGTATGCCTGGCCACCACTGCCCACTCAGTCCTGCGTCACTCCATTTCCACTGTGACACGTCACAGGGCCCATCCCCACCAGTGGGGACACCCCACCTTTGTGGCTCATGGGCTGTGCTGCTCTTGGGGTTCCTGCAGACTACATCCCCAGCATGCAGGCTTGGAGCTAGGGCATCCAGTGCTGAGCTTCAGGCTCTGAAAAGTCCGGCTGGACCAGAACTCTGGCTCCAGGAGCTCTCATACATGTTTGGATGAGGCCATGGGGTTCTGGTGCCACATGGGGGTGCAGGGCTGTTGGCGTTCTGTCCTGTGTCTGCACCAAGCCCAGCTCTCCGGCCGAAGTTGGAAAGGCACTGCAGAGTACAGACTAGGCAAGGTACCCGGTCTGCACTCCCCGGTGAGGGCCGCAGTGTTAGTTAAGTAGTAGAGCAGTTGATCCCCCGGTACTAGGGAAAAAGAGATTTGTTGGCCCGAGTGAGTGTGTCAAGGCCACAGAGCCCGAGACCCATCTGAACTCCGAGACATAGTATCAGAGTTTATGTTTTCCAAATCAGTTCCCTACCTAGCATTTTCAGTAGTGCACTGGCCGGCACAGGGAACCCCAGTTGAAGCCTCTGGAGCCTGGGTCTGTCCTGGTGGGCTGCCTGACTTGGCGAGTCCTCGATCACCACTGCAGTGACAGACCTGATCTCAGGGCAAGCCGGTTGGTCCTGCTGGAATTATGGTCAGGCCCTCCAACAGTCACTGGCCACGGTGGGCCCCACATGATGAGGCTGGATAGCTGGGGGCCCAGAGAAGGATCTCTATGGGAGGCACTGAAATAGTGTTTGGCCCTGTGTGGCCTGTGCCCTGACCTCCCTGCTATCCCCAGGGCATCCTTGAGAACATCCAGAGGAATAAGCTGCTCTTCATTGAGACCCAGGATGGGGCTGAGACCAGTGTGGCCCTGGAGAAGTACCAAGAGGTAGGTGCCTGGGACAGGTGGGGAAATGCCAACCGCCAGCAGGTGAGTGGGAGAGGGCTGAGGAGTGACTGCCTCCACCTCCCTAGGCCTGCGAGAACGGCCGAGGGGCCATTCTGCTCTCAGTGGCTCGGGGCAAAGTGTCAGAAGGGATTGACTTTGGTGAGTAGACCTGGCTCTTAGCCCAGTGGCCTGCTCTCCCTGCCGTCACTGCTCCCTTGGGGACCACTGGCCACACACAGGGATCTGTCCCCTTTCCCTCCCCTGGGGCAACTCTAAGCACACAGCTCCGCAGCAGCCAGCCCAGGGTGCACTGAAATCGTGCTGTCCTGTCCCCAGTGCACCACTATGGGCGGGCCGTGATCATGTTTGGCGTCCCCTATGTCTACACCCAGAGCCGAATTCTCAAGGTGAGCGGGGAGAGCTGTGGTGTCGGGAGGGAGGATCCTGGGGGAAGGGCAGGATCTCCATCTTAGCCTCCTCATCCCCCAGGCCCGCCTGGAGTACCTGAGGGACCAGTTCCAGATCCGAGAGAATGACTTCCTCACCTTCGATGCCATGCGCCACGCAGCCCAGTGTGTGGGGCGCGCCATCAGGGGCAAGACAGACTATGGCCTCATGGTCTTTGCTGACAAGGTGGGCTCAGGGCCTCTGGGCACCCCAGCTGAGCGGGCCCCACTTCTCCACAGAGTCCAGGGTGGTGGGCTCCAACCTGGGGTTTGACATCCTCCCCTCCCTGCTCCTCACAGCGGTTTGCTCGGGCCGACAAGCGTGGGAAGCTGCCTCGATGGATCCAGGAGCACCTGACGGACTCCAACCTCAACCTGACCGTGGATGAGGGCGTGCAGGTGGCCAAGTACTTCCTGCGGCAGATGGCACAGCCCTTCCACCGGGTGAGCCTTGGCTGCGTGCCCTTTCTCCCTCCTCCCAGGTGCAGTCTTCCTAGTCGCCTCAGGGTCCCCAGATCCAGAAGTAAGGGAGTGGACAGCCCAGGGGCAGATGAGAGCCCAGTGCCCTTTTTCTCCATGTCTGCACTCTACGTCATGTGGAGTGTGTGGCTGACACCTGTCCTTCACCTCTGTCCCCTGTAGGAGGATCAGCTGGGCCTGTCACTGCTCAGTCTGGAGCAGCTGCAGTCAGAGGAGACGCTACGGCGGATTGAGCAGATCGCACAGCAGCTCTGAAGGCAGGACTGCGGCGTGGTGCCTGTGGCTCCCTGGAAGGTCCCAGGGCCCACAGGCAAACACCCAGCGCCAGTGTACAGCCTTTAATTGCAGGGAGGCTAGCAGGACCCCGATGCGCAGGTGCAGCGCGGGGGACCACCCACCACCCTTCCCTGAGAAGCTGGCCGCTCCAGCTGGTCCACTTAGCGCGGGCTCAGGTCCTGCGTGCTGGCGCTGAGGGTCCGAGGGGCGTCACTCAGGTGCCGAGTTGAGAGCTGGGGACAGGCACAGGAGTGGTTGGAGTTCTTTTCCAGTTGACCCTGGGGCCATCTCATGCCCCGACCCACTAACTGGCTCTTGAGTCCTCAGGAGAAAGCCCCACCTTTCCTGTCTCGCTGAGCCTGTCACCGGCCCCCTCACCTGCGTACTGGCCGCCCTGGGGCCATCCACGTTCAGCATATTAAGGGACATGGCTCTCTTCATCCTTCAGAGGAGGCCAAGGAGACAGGAGTGAGTCAGGGAAGGACTACAGCACCCTGGCTGACCAGCGTCACAGAGAGAGATGCCACAGAAGGTACACGACAGACTACTGACCTCGCCCAGCACTCACCCTGCAGCCCCTGCCATGCCCTGGCCTCGGAGGCGGGAGACCAGCTTCTCACTTCCGCGCCGGATAGACTCTCGGAGCTTGGAGAAGGAGCTGCTCCTACGTAGGACCTAGGAGGGAGGCACAGTGACATGTGGGGGCCACATAGACCAGGCCCAACAAGGACCTGAAGGCAGAGCCTGCTTACTTGTTGCTGTGCTTCGCCGGCTGTGCCTGCAGGGGGCGCTCCTGTGGGAGAGAAGGGCCATGAAGGTGGGCCTGATGGACACCACACAGGAGGGTGGGCAGGAGGGAGTAGGGGGTCGGCTCACCAAGTGGGGCAGGCAGGGCCTCCTGGCTGAGGATCTCCTTGTACAGCTCCTCTGCCTGCTGGTACTTGTTCTGCTTCAGGTAGGCTGAGGCCTGCAGGGAGGGCCGGGGCAGGGTGTGGACCTCTTGTTGAGACCTGGGAACTTCTCAGACCTGCCTGCCTTCCCCAGCATCCTGCCTCGGCTTACTACAGTGCAGAGCACTGGCCTGAAGGCCAGACCGCTTGCCACTGAGCCCCACCTCTGTGCCTCTGTCTCCCACCTCAGTGGGTGAAGGGTTAGCGGGCGCCCACCACGACCACAATAAAGCTTGGCACAGGATTCTGTGAGCTGGGGTTTGCTTCTGTTTTTTTGTACTGAAGAACCTGCAGGAGCCTGTGGTCTCTTCCCTACCCACAGTTCCCCAGGACAAGCTCTGCCCATGCCTCACCAGATTGTTCTTGGTCTTGGCCACATTGGGGTCATGTGGTCCTCCCAGGGCCTCGTAGATGCTCAGGGCCCGGGCGTAGTGCCGCTCCACATCCTGAAACTTGCCCTGGTTCTGGCACAACAAGGCCAGGTTGTTGAGCTGCTTAGCCACATCAGGGTGGTCAGCACCCAGGACCTGGGGTGCACATAAGCCATCTGTCACACAAGGTGGCCCTTGCGATGCCACTGTTGTGCCAAGTTCACAGGCTGGGAATGTAGGCCCAGAGTGGAAGCTACACTGGGTATGGGGATTAGTGAGGCCAGAGGTCATGGGGTGCTGAGTCCAACAGTCAGCTTAGAGGTATGAGGTAGTCAGGGCGGGAATATAAGCTCATCAAGGTGGTGGGGCACGGTGCTCCAGGCTCAAATAAGGGGAACTTGCCACCAAATTCCAAGGTGCACCAGGTATTATGGCCTGAGGTACAGCACCTTCTCCCGGATCTCCAGGGCACGCTGGCATAGGGGCTCTGCCTCCCGGTAACGCCCACGTTTTCCATAGAGCACAGCCAGGTTGTTGAGGGTGGCAGCCACCTGCAGGGGGTCAGTTGGCAGAGGAGGAGGGCCCTGCAGCCCAGCCCAGTCCACCCCTATCCCACCATCCCTTCCCGAACTGCTCACCGCGGGGTGTTCGGGACCTAGAGTCTGCTCCCGGATCTGCAGGGCGTCCTCAAGAAGGTCTGTGGCCTCTTTGTACTTGTTCTGGTCCCTGCAGGACAGGGATGGAAGGCTGGGGTCATGGGCTGGACTGAGCCAGGAAGCAGCAGCAGCCTTAAGGGGTCCCCTTGTCGGCCCACACCTCCCAGGCCGCTAGCTCTGGGTCCCCACACTGCCAACTCTGTCAAGCATCAGGTCTATGTTCCTTACCCACCCCGGCGCCCAAACGATGGACTCTCGCCCTCGCTGCCTTTCTAGGTTCTTTCCATTTTCTTGACCCTGTCATTCTGTTCCCACCAGGTGCTTTCCCTTGCCACCACTACCACAGACGGGGTCCCCGCCCAGTCACCCTCACCTATACACGAGGGCCAGGATGTTGAGCATGGTGGCCACATCAGGGTGGCAGTGGCCCGAGCTCCGCTCCAGGTCCTCCAAGGCCTGGCGGCACAGGGGGACCGCCACCTCGTAGCGGCCCTGGCCGGCGTACTGGATCACCAGGTTGTGCAGGGTCCGAAGGCGAGCCGGGATTTCATAGCCGCCCTGCTGCGCTGCTGCGGCCCCAGCTGCCTCGGGACCTGGCAGAAGTGTTGCGGACTCACATGCTGTGGGCGTCAGCCCGTGCCCACAGCCACCTTTTGCACTTTGGCCTGGTGCCAACGCGAGGCACCGGGATGTCAGGAGTGTCAGGTGCCAGAACTTGTGGCTTCCTACATCCCTGCTAACCAGGGCCACCTGCTGCATCTTCCGGACCCTGTCCTCTCCCATGCGCCGAGGCTCAGAGGCTTCGGGGTCCCTCAGGGCAAGGCTCCTACCCCAGGCTCTAGCCCTGGGGGTTACGCTCTAATGTGGTGCCTGGGGCTCCCACACACGCACCTTTCCTTTCCTCCTCTTCACTGGGGAACAGAGAGGCCAGGCTGTCTCGGCGAGGGGGGGACTCGGGCCTCTGTGGGGAACAGGAAAGAGTAATTCTGAGAATGGCGAGTGTTGGAGGCCAAGGCCCTGAAGCTACGTCAGGCCTGCCGGGGGAGCTTTCCGTTGTCTGGGGCAGGAGCTCGCCATGTACACCAGGCTGGCCTGGAACTCACAAAGTTCAGCTCAGCTCTGAGTTTGACCAAGGTGTGGGTCAGGAGGAGCCTTAGAGGTTTTGTGGAAGACCTAAGAGCTTGAGGGGCCTTTGGATGTGGGGATCTCACGTGCCTGAAGGACTGTGGGGTACTAAGGCCGAGGGCATCCAGGGCTCTGTGGAGGGCTGTGTGCGCCCTCTTCACCCTGCCCCTGCTACCTGGCTCTCCTCAGGTGGGTCATACTGCCGAAGCTGCCCTAGGAACTGGAGGTGGCTCTTCTCCTCCTCCAGCTGGGCCACAGCCTCCTCACTGGCCCGCAGGCGCCTCTGCGTCTCCTCCAGCTCCTCTCGGAGCCACGTGTTCTCCTGGGCTAGCCTCCGTGCCTGTGCCCGCAGCCTCTGCTTCTCAGCCTCTAACACACCCACGTGTGCAGACAGGGCCAGCAGCACCTGTCAGGCATTGCCACTGAGTAGGACTGGGTGCGCCCACAAACAGCCCCAGCCCAGGCACACTCACACACACTCATTCTACACAGGTAACCCCACAGCCTGAGGATACCCTACCGTGTGGCTCTGATAAAGTTAAGACTTTTCCAGCAACTAAATTTCACCTAAATCAGGCATAGGGTTCATTCCTATTTCATCTATGTAACCCAGCACCTGCCTAGAATATCCCCCCAACCCTGTGAAGGGCTGGGGCGTGACTCAGCAATAGAGCCCTTGCCTAGAATCCCCCAGTGAGGGGCTGGAGTGTGGCTCAGTGGTAGAGCCCCTGCCTAGAATCTCCCAGTGAGGGGCTGGGGTGTGGCTCAGTGGTAGGGACCCTGCCTAGAATCCCCCAGTGAGGGGCTGGGGTGTGGCTCAGTGGTAGGGACCCTGCCTAGAATCCCCCAGTGAGGGGCTGGGGTGTGGCTCAATGGTAGTCTCTGCCTACCATGAGTGAAACCCTGGATGTCATTCATAATAACAACCCCAACTCCCTCCAGGACCCTAGGTCCCACAGGAGAATCACATCTGGCACATGCAGAAATCTCATCCCTAATGCTTCCTTAGGGATGCAATCTCTGGCCTGCAGTTCCCCCTTCCAGGCCTGGCTCCTTCTGGCCTCTTATACTTCCTCCCTGTACCATGTCCCCCCATCCCTGGGCCTCCCCCACCACCTGACCCCACACACACACACACACCCCTCATCCCTGGTCCTCCTCCCTCCCAGGCTCAGGCTCCCCACCAGCCCCACACACCTGGGCCTCGCCCAGCCCCAGCTCGATGGCCTCCAGTGAGTGGTTCACCACCTGTTGCTTCTCTTCCAGCAGCTCCACACCAGCCACAGGCCCCGGTCCAGCCAGGGCGTCCTCCAAGCGGCCGGCCAGACTATGGTGCTCAGCCCGGAGGGCCTCCAGCCCCTGTACTACCTGCCGCGTCTGCCGCACCAGCTCCTCGGGGTTCAGGCGCTCTGGGCCCAGCCCTGTGCTTCCAAGGGCCACCACCTGCACAGACATGGCTGCTCCTGGGGCAGTGAGGTTGAGGGAGTCAGCCGCCGGGCCAGGCAGACTCCTCTCTTCACTCCAGCATCTCTCTGTCCACCCATCCCGGCCAGCTCTCCGCCCGAGCCCTTCCCATCCCGGGCAGCCTTCCTCCCAGTCTACCCCGAGGACAACGCTGAACTGTGCCAATCGGCCAGGAGGCCTGACAGCTGCTTCCCTCGGCCCCTCCACCCCACTGCACTCTCACCTGGCCCGGTCCCCCCGCCCAGGTCCCCAGACACCCCGGCTTGGAGCTGCCAGCCGGCTAAGCGCCCTGGGACCCAGGCGCCACCTCCACCAGGCTAGGGGGCGGAGCGTGTGGAGGCGGCAGGCTCCCGGTGAGCTCATTCTGAGGGTGTTTTTGTGAGGAACCAGTCCGGCCACTGGGGGTGGCGGGGCAGAGGGGAGGGATGAGGGATGGAAAGAGAGGAGGAGAGCAAAGGGCTGGAGCCCGGATGGGGTGAGGGCTTCTGAGAGGGCTGAACGTCAGCTCCTGAGCTTGGCAAAACCTTGGGGGAAGAACTAGGGGCCCCAACCCGGGCGGCCAGCAGTGGCCATGCGATGCCGGCGAACTGGTGAGGGGTGGTGGCATGTTTAAATGTGGGTAACCAAATCAGAGGCTCAGAGGGTGAACCTCACAGACACATACCAACCACTCAAACACACCTCAGCAAACTTACATAAAACTAACCCCCCCCTCCCTCTCTCATTTTTTTATTATTTTTTTAAACAGGGTCTTACTATGTAGCCCAGGCTGGCTTAGAACTCACAGAAATCCACCTGTCTCTGCCTTCAGAATGCTGGGATGAGAGGTCATGTGCCACCTGCTAGCCTTTTAAGAGAGGTTTTTAATTCGTTTCTTGGGATTGGGCCTCATATGTCCAGACTGGCCTGGACCCTACTATGTAGCTGAGGAAGACCTTAAACCACATGCACCGCCACACTCCATTTACGGGGTGCTGGGTGAACAGGGGTGTGGACATGCTGGGCAAGCACTCCCATTAACCAAGCCCCAGCTCAGGTCCTTCTGAAAGACCCGGTGGCAGACAGATTCCCATCCCAGACACAGCTCAACACACGCACTCCCTTCTTTGACACGCCCCTGAGCCCTCTCTGAACAAACACCATACATGTATTACCTCATCAGAGATACAACATAATAAAACAAAACAAACAAACAAAAAAAGCACGGCATGATACACACCGTCATCATAGAGGTACAGAACACACCACATTCTCTTCTTTTCAGAACACAGTTCAGAGCCAGGTGTGGTAGCACACACACATACTTCCGGCACTGGAGGCTGAGACAGGGGGATCATGGATCCAGGAGCTACAAACTCAGTTTTAAAAGAGAACACCTGGGCTGGAGCGGGGGCTCAGAGCACTGTCTGCTCTTCCTGAGGTCATGAGTTAAATTCCCAGCAACCACATGGCGGCTCCCAACCATCGATAATGAGACCTGGTGCCTCAAATAAAAATAAATCTTTAAAAGAGAACACCTGAGGACTCAGTAGGTAAGAGCCCTCATTCCTCCCGCACAGTGCCCATATGGTGGCTGCCAACCCCACTCAAGTTCCAGGGACCTGACACCCTCTTCTGGCCTCCAGGGGCAAGGCACACACACTGCGCATACACGCATGCTGCATGCAGACAAACGCTCATGTACATAAAATAAAAATAAGTCTTTCCTGGGTGGTGGGAGCACACACCTGTGATCCCAGCACTCAGCGGGCCAACCACTGCGAGTTCCAGGCCAGCCTGGTCTACAGAGCAATTTCCAGGACAGGCAGGGTAACAAAGAAAAATCCTGTCTCAGAAAAACAAAAACAAAATCTTAAGAGGAAAAAAAGACAGATGCTGGAAACACAGCTAACCAAGCACGGCCAAGGCTCTGGAGTCCATCCCTAGCACCAAAAGAAAACAAAACAAAAAGTTGAGGGATAGGTGCGTAATGCAAACCTAAGATCTGAGCTCTCGAGAGGCAGAAGATCAGGGTTCAAAGCCATCCTTGGCTAAACTTTCTTGCGGCACCTCAAGTGCTGGTTAGCAGACAGCACCCTTCTAGGGCCTGTTTGTTTGAGACAGGGTTTCTCTGTGTGGCCGTGGCTGTCCTGGAACTCACTCTATAGACCAGGCTGGTCTCAAACTCAGGGATCCACCTGTCTCTGCTTTCTGAGTGCTGGGATTAAAAGCGTGTGCCACACAGCCCGGCTTAAGAAATAATCCTCCATTATAGAGTTCTCTCTCTCTCTCTCTCTCTCTCTCTCTCACACACACACACACACACACACACACAAAACCCTACCATACACAGAGACACACAAGTAAGATCCTAGGAGTGTGTGAGGAACCCGGGAAGGCTCCACCTCACAAGCCACATATCTGGTTAGTCTTTTCACCGCAGGAGTTCAGGGAGAACCATCCTGACAGCAGCCACCCTGGCCCAGCGTGGGAGGGGAGCGCCATCCCCTCCTGCCCCTTGGCACAACCTCAGGCCCAATCAGACCACAGCTCAACCACAGCCACCTGCCATCAAGCTGTCCCCGGCATTCACGGGGCCCCCTCGAATGCCCACCCCACCTCGCAGAGGTGCCCCCTTCCCCACACACAGGGGGGCTTTGCCAGTGCACAGCAGGCATGCAGCGTGCACACACTCACACCACCTCGGCAAACCCCAGCTTGCAGACACAGTCACACACACAACCAGAGAGCCAACAGTCCGTGGCAGTCACGTATCACCAACACAAATCCACACACTCCACCCCCACACAGCACCCAGACCCCACCTGATTAGAGATTCCATTGCCTGGCCACGCGTGTGACCCAGCCACAGGGACAGCGCTGACCACAGAGCCAGCATCTCCCGGGCACACGTGTTAAGTACCGTGACAGTCCACATGAAACACACACACACAGGACACTCTGACAAGGTCGTCCGTATTCAGTCTATGCCATCACAGAGCGATACTGTAGTTCATCTCCCTTCTACACTTGTACCCACAGCCTGACCGTTGCCTTTTTTGTTTTTCGAGACAGGTTTTTGTCTGTGTAGCCTTGGCTGTCCTGGAACTCACTCTGTAGACCAGGCTCTCCTTGAACTCACAGGTGTGCCTGCCTCTGCCTCCCGAGTGCTGGGATCACAGGTGAGCATCATGATGCCTGGTCTCTATTTGTTTATCTTCCTTTATATAGTTACTGTGTGTGCAGGGACCCACGGAGGGTCAGAGAACTTGCAACCGGAGGGACTCCGTTCTCTCCTCCCACCTCGTCGTCCCTCTTTCCTTTTCTTTTCCTTTCTCCCTCTGACACTTTTACCCACAATCCGCCTTCCTTCTGTCTCTCTCCCTGGAGAAAGGGTCTCACTGCGCAGCCCAGGATGGCCTCCAACTCCGCGCCTCTTGCCTCAGTTTCCACAGTGTGCCCTGCCTGACACCTCTCTTTTGCACACCCCGGCGGGGGGGACCCTTACCATGCGCGTTTTGCACTCGCAGGCTGCAGCCGGCGACCCCCAGGCTTGGCCTGCCCCTCCCCGCGCCCGCAGAGACCCCGCACCCGACTGCGCGTCACAAGGCCCCGCCCCGCCCGCAGCTGTTTTCCTAGCCGGCCGGAGGCGGGCCCTGCGCGGCCGGTCTGGGACGCCAGGCCCGCGCACCCCTCTCCATCCCCGCCGACCCCTCGGGGACCCCACCGCCGCCGCCGCCCCGCCGCGCCCACCTGGACGCCGCCTGTCCGAACTGCCCGGTGGCGCGCAGACCCCAGCTGCTCCCGCTGCGCCGACGCCGGTCCCGGAGGCTCCTGGAGGCGGGGCGGGGCGCGGCCACGCCCCCGCAGGTGCGCAGGCCACGCCCTCGCCGCGCCCGGAGAAACCCGCAGTCCCGGAACTTTTGAAAACTTTCTCTGGGGCCTGTCAGGGAGCACAGCGTGGACGGAGACCGACCCCGCATGCTGTCCTCCGACTTTCGTCTGTGCGCAGTCACGCATACAAGACAAATACTTAAAAACGTAACTTAAATCTCTTTTGAAGGGCGGAAAAGATGTCTTACCCGCTCTTGAAGAGGAGCCGGGTTCGATTCCCAGCACCCACCTGTCAGCTCAAGCTCATCTGTAACTCCATTTCCAAGGGCCCATCACTCTCCAGGGCCCCCACAGGCATGGCCTGCACTCAGCACTCAGCACTCAGCTCACGGACATAGCAAAGCTCCTGGACACCTGAAAAAGATGCAGTCTCCAAAGACGCACGTGGTGTGATAATTACAGCCTCGGAACTTGGCACCACTCTTTCTGGCGGGCAGGACGGTGAGGGCGTCGGCTGCCATGCTCCACTACCCGAGTTTCATCTCCAGGAGCCACGGGAAGCAAGGATAAAAGTGCCTCCCGAGAAACTGTTCCGGAGTTGTGCAGGAGGAGCCTGCCCTCCATGTTCAGGGAACCTGTGCGCCCACACACGTGCGCACACGCGCACACACACACACATACACACACACACACACACACAAGGGTTTTTTCTAAGGCTGCAGGGACTGCTTCTCGCTGCTGCGGCCGGGACCCAGAGCCCTGGGAATATAGGCGAGGCCATCTACCATGCCGCCATCCAGCTTTAAGTACATAAATATATATAACGTTATTGTGTATTATTACATATAAATGTTTATTAAGAAAAATATGTACATTTCAAATACTTTTAAATATATGTACATATATTAATACTCCCCCTTCCCCTCGTTTTGGTTTTTCGAGACAGGGCTTCTCTGTGTAGCCTTGGCTGTCCTGGACTCGCTTTGTAGACCAGGCTGGCCTGGAGCTCTCAGAGATCCGCCTCCCTCTTTTTTTGAGACGGGTTCTCATTATGTACCCCAGCCTGGCCCCACACTCATGGCGATCCTTCTGCCTTGGCTTCCTGAGTGCAGGGACTACAGCCACTGTGCCCTAGTTATCTTTGTTTTATCGGGGCTGGGTGATAAAGTCTTTAATGGTCAGGGTGAGCTCAAATTTGCAATCCTCCTGCCTCAGCTTCTTGAACACCTGGGAATACAGGCCCATGCCCCCATGCTGAGCATCCAAGAATCCCTTAGTGTTGGCTCCTGGGTCTACATTTTCTACGGTGGGTGCCTTGTGTCTCTTTTCTGGTCCTCAGGCTGCAAGGCGGCACGATGCAGGCTGATGAATCCGGTTCTACAGTCACGGAAGGTCCCTGCAGTGTGCGATGCCGCCGCCAGAGGGCGCAGCGGGTCCGCGGAGCGCGTATCCTGCAGAGCCCAGGTACCGGCTCCAGGACGCCCTCTGTGGTCCCCTCCTGTGACCCCATCCCCGGGCTCGCAGCCTGGTGGGCTCCAGCGTCTTCATCCTGCACGCCGTGCGTCGCTCCACGGGGGACAGGTTCCAGGACTGAAGAGGGCAGCTAAATTTCACGCCGTCGTCTTTGGTCTCCGGACACGCACAATGGCATCATGAAGCAGACAGGGGCCGGCCGAGATCCCAGCAGCTGGCTGTGTGAACCCCCTAGGTAGAGAGCAACACCTCTGGCCTCCGGTTCCTCTGCACAGAACCAGATTCGGAGAACCTGCTTCCGGAGACCGTTGTCATCAGTTCCTCCAATGGTCTTTGCGTGGGGTGAGAGGGTTCAGCGGCTAAAGGCGCTTGCCGCCAACCCTGACAATCTGAGTTCCAGCCCTGGCCCATCTGGTGGAAGGAGTGGCCTAAGGGGGCGTTTCCTCGGTTGTGGCTCCGTGTCCAGAGGCAGGAAACTGGCTACTCACAGGTGCCTGTGAGAACCTGGTTTCTCGGAGACACACACACACACAGGAGCAGGCGTAGGCGCGCACGGTCGCACCCCTCTGTCGGTTCACACCTGACCTGCAGCATCTCTGCGGGACAGGAGATACAGATTAGGAGCAAGCCTCGAGGAAGGCAGCTGCATGCTGCACACCCCAAGCAGGGCCGAGCTTTGGGGTGCTCCTGCAACAGGGCCTGAACCAAGTCCTCCACGCAAATGACTTCTGCTCCCACCACGTGTACAGATGACGGCAATGGTGCCCGGAGAGGTTAGCGGCTTCTCTGAGGTCACACAGCCAAGGAATCAAAGGTAGGTTCCTGTGCCAGATGAGGAAACTGAGACTCTGAGAGAGGAAACTGTTTGCCGAGACGGGCACAGTGGCTCACACCTGTGATCCCAGCACTCTGGCAGGCAGAAGCAGGTGCATCTATGAGTTCGAGGCCAGCCTGGTCTACAAAGTGAGACCAGGATAGCCAACGCTCCACAGAGAAACCCTGTCTCAAACAAACAACAACAAAAAGAGGTTGAAAATGCCTGTAATCCCAGCAACTGGAACATTGAGATAGGACTGTCTAGGAATTCCAAGCTAGCCTGGGCTACAAGGTAGGAAGACCTCAAAACAACTAACACATGAAATACAGCATGGTGGTATTGGTCTGGAAGCTGAGGCAGAAGGTCTCCAGCTGTGAGGTCTGGGATAGCCTGGGCTAAATAGCGAGACTCTGTACAAAAGAAAAGGGGCCCTTAGAGTCCCTGAGGTCTCCATGACAGAGCCTTGAGGCCTCGGTCCCCAACCTTCTCAAGACTCCTCGGGGCTCCTGACTGAACCACTTCTACCCCCACCAACCGTCAGCCCCCAGGAGAGGGCGAGCACCATGGCACAGCAGGTGTGGACATGGCAAGTGCCTGACGGCCCGGGAAGAGACTGAGGACACAGCTTGACTTGCCCAGAGGCTCCCCAAAGCCCTCCCAGCCACCCTGTGCCCCTCTGATTGGCAGCTCTGCCCCTTCCCCGCTGCTTGCCCTTGAGCTGGTTCCTTAACCTCTCTGAGCTTCACTGATGAGACTGAGTTACTATATAAGCACTGGGAGCAGTACTGAAAGGGTTAAATTAGCAGAGCTAACTCTAAGTTGTTTCTTGGCCTCCATCCAAGGTTAGCTTGACCCTAGAGTACTTGGTTCCCACCCTTAAGTTCTGAGAAAACAAACAAACAAACCACAGAATACTTTCGGCAGTTGCAATAAGACATAGCAACTGAGGCAGACAGAAAGACAGGGACGGTTGAGGAAACATAAGCTGTTCCCAGGGTCTCGGTGCTCCTCTTGGAAGCTGTTCCTCTTTGTGGTTTGGCCAGGTGCTGAAACCAGCGAGGCCAAAGTGCATTTCATTCCTTTACCCTTTGTCCAGTCATGTAACACCAAGGCTTGGAGGTCCCCGCTTGCAGTTTTCCCTCTAAAAACCCCGACTCCCCAGACCTCAGGGTCACTCTCCCAACCTGCTGTGCAGGAAGGATTGTGACCCAGGCTCAAGCTTGTAATAAAAAGATTCTCATGCATTTGCATCGGATTCGTGTTCCTGATGGTCTCTTGGGGGCCTCGTGATCTGGGCATAACAGTACTTAACCATCCGCACCTATGCTAGCCTCCTTGCAGTTCATCTTCTTACAGGCGGACCCTGCCTCTGACTGGCTCATCCCAGGTCTCATGATTAGCCCACGCCTGCAAATCATTCTGAGAAGCTGAGTTCCCGCTACGTTTGGCGTCTCCAAGACAAGTGACTTAGAGGCACAGAGCTTCCCGATAGCAATCTACATGGAGCCAAAAAGAATGTTGAGGGCCAGCAAGACAGCTCAGTGGGTAAATGCACCTGCAGCCAAGCCTGACAACCTGAGTTCAAGTCCCAGGACCCTCAGAGTGGAAAAAGAGAACTGCCTCCCGAGAATTGTCCCACCCCTACCCCCAGAAATAATAAATAAATAATTAAATAAACAAATGTGATCTTTTTAATTAAAATAAAGATGAGGGCCAGGCATGGTGGTGCACTCCTTTAATCCCAGCACTTGGGAGGCAGAGGCAGCCTGGTTTACAGAGGGAGTTCCAGGACAGCCAGGGCTACACAGAGAAACCCTGTCTTAAAGGAAGAAAATAACAAAACAGTCAGACATCCCCCCCAGGGGTTCTCAGGGGCTCAGGGGGTAGAGTGTGCTCTCCAGCAGGCATGTGCCATGGCCAGAGCCTCCTTTAACCCTCTGTGGCACCTATCCCACGTGTCCCTGTCCCCTGCCCAGCGGTGTCTTCTTTGCCCACGTTCCTTGGCCATGTCTGTTTGTGCCTACCCTCAGTGCTCTACCTCAGGACCTTGGCACTGCTCTTCCCTCAGCTTCCTCCCTACACATCCGGCCCTCTCCACTTCAGATGTCATGCTCCCCCCTCAGAGGCCTGCCTTGAGTCACCCATCTGTGACCGTGCTCTGATCCCTCTTTCATTTCCTTCAAAGGCCTAGTGACCTGTCCCTCCAGGAGGGGACAGGCACCGTGTATCCTGTTTCCCCAGGAAGTGTTCAATAAACCAACGCTCTGGGGGGTTTGTTTTGTTTTTCAAGACAGGGTTTCTCTGTATAGCCTTGGCTGTCCTGGACTTGCTTTGTTGACCAGGCTGGCCTCGAAGTCATGGAGATCTGCCTGCTTCTGCCTCCCTGAGTGCTGGGATCCCTGAGTGGGTGGCCAGCTGGGCCACCACGCCCGGCTGGCCTCAAACTCTTGAAATCCAGTTCCTTTTAGTTCTTTAGGCATCACCTTCTAAGGCCCCCAAAGGAGACCTTTGTCCATATGACTGTGCTGGCAAAGAACAGGGGGTGCCAGGGCCAGCGTCTGCTTCCCAGAGCTGGTTCCCCCTTATCAGCCAGGGCAGAAATGGGGGAGAATGCAGTGAAGCCAAGCTGGCCACCCCAGGAGGAATCAAGAGAAGGAGCCTCAGGGTGATCCTGAAGAAGGCTGTCTCACGCCCTGCAACCCTGGCTCCTCCTCAGTGC